ATTTTTTTGAGCTCGGAGAGCTCAAAATAATACACAAATTGTATTTATGAGCTCGAAGAGCTCTAAAACGTCATAAGTGCAATTTCAAGCGTTTAGGTATAGAATTGGCGGGAAGTTGCAGGGATGGCCTTCAGGGTCAACCGTATTCCTAATTTTTTTTTTTTTTATTTTTCAATGAGAAAAATCAAATTAAATTAGCTGACGTCTGAAAATTTTTAGAATTTTTTTATTGAAAAAAATTAAAAGAAAAAAATTTGACTTTGTAAAAGTATGAAAAATTTTAAGTGCAATTTTTTGAAAATATTTTTTTACTTATAATTTTTATTGATTAAAAAATTAAAAAACGGTCAAATGTCTGCTAATTTTATTTTCATAATTATTTTTAATTGTAAAAATAACTAATAAAATATTTTAGATATTTATCAACCGGTAAGCGAGTAAAAAATTGGTATACTACCGATCCTTGGACCAAAGGAACTCCAGCGTACAACGACATGAGAGCTGTACGACGGGGTCACGTGATTGTTCGCAGAAAAGCAAATGCCATGTCACCTGAAGAGCTGACCAAAGCTGCAACAATAGAGAACTCATTGTCACCTACAAGAGATATAGTATTAGAAGATTTTCGGTCAGGATGTCCTGTTACTTTACCTGGACAATGTCCTTTTGCAGAAAAGTCCAAAAGTTCCGTACAGTTTTTGAGATTGCATCAATGCGAGATGGCCTGCGCCCAAGGCGGGTTCTTTTGTTTAGTTGTTCTCCATCCCGAAGCTCTAGGCATCCATGGTGTCACTGATCAACAGCTTGATGACTTTTCCTACGTATGGAAGTGCTTTGGCTATCTGCTGGGAATTGGAGATGAGTAAGTGTCCAAAAATTCTGAAAGAAGAAATAATCAAACAATTAAGGTAGTTGTCATGGTTAAGGCATATCATCAGAAAATTCTTTTTTTTATACTTATTAAGAACATGATGATCGAAGGTTTAGTTTTCCCAACGTGTTACCAATTGGTTTCTAATCGGGTAAACCTCACAGCAAGTTATTCATTTTGACGATGGGTTATCCCAACAAGTTCCCAAAAGTTACCCAACTGGACAAACCAATCATCGATTCAATAACTGTAACATTGGGTTTTCCCAGCATGTTCCAAAGTATATCTCAATTGGGTAAACCCATTCGCAATTTTTTTATTTTATATCATATCCTAATAGGGGATCATAACTCTATTGGGGTTGCCCCATCAATAACCAATTGGGTCCCAATGTATGCTTGGGGATAATTTCTAGTCGGGATACAATTACTTTGAAAATTTGGAGTCGACTTACCACCTATAAACCGAGATAAATTCTCTTTATATCTTTAAAACTATCTATAATTAAAAAATTACACTGTATCTCGTCACCTAATGATATTTTTAAAGATATAAGCTCATCCTGATGTTACCCTTACCGAGATCTTTCATTTAAATACCCACATGAATTTTTTATATATTTTATATACTTTACAAATATCAGAAATATCATATATATATAAAATATGCATGTGAGTACTCAAATGAAAGGTCTCGATGAGGGTAACATCAGGATGAGCTTATATCTTTAAAAATATTAATAATTGAACAATTACATTGTATCTTGTCACCTAATGATAATATTAAAGATTTAAGGTAGTTGTCGTGGTTAAGGGATACCGTCAGAAAATTATAAATTTTTGTATACTTATTAAGGACATGATGATACAATTACCCTAAAAATTTGAAGTCGATTGACCACCTATAACCCGAGATGAATTTAATTAAAAATTGGATATTTAACATTGATTGCATACCCTCTCTGCAGTTCTGTACCAGTTTCTCAGTTATAAAAAAAAAACTAATTGCCAGAAACTTTGAAAAAACTGACAGTCTTTTAATGTATTTGTTGTGAGTTTAAAAAAAAATTTTTGACTGTCTAATTATTTATAAATAAGGGATTAAAGTTCAACAATTTATGAAAAAGTATATTTCTATTACAGTCTTGCGTAAAAATTATGGATTACTTAGCTACAAGCTCATATAATTTTGCGTAAAATCTCTAATTTTTTTGACAATATTGTACCATGACAACTACTTTAATTATTATTAATGACACTGAAATTAGCAGACACTTGACAATTTTTTCATTTTTCTTTAAATATAAACTAGGCCTAGAAAGTTATTTTCAAAAAATTGCATTTATAATTTTTTTAGAGCTTCTAAAGATGTAATTTTTATAATAAATTTTTTTACTATAATTTATTAATTAAAAATACTCTAAAAATTATCAGATGTCTCTCAATTTCAATATAATTATTGTAATTGCTAATAAAAATATTTACAGCTACAATTTCTGTCGAGGAAGCTTAGAAGACATCAAACAAAGGTCTAAAGATTTTTTGAACCTCTGGATAAAGGCGAATTTCAGAAACATAACTCCAGAATTCGAACATATGATGAGATGCTTAACTATTGGCACTGGATATTTTCTCACAGATATTTCTTATGAAGTGAGCCTGTTGTATTTCGCGGAGTTGATGGATATTGACATGCCAAGGCTCCGTTCCTCACTCAGCTATTCTGACTGGATTAGACACAAGCTTGCCAAGTAAAAATAATAAAATACAAAAAAAGATTATTTAATTTAGAACTTGATTAAAAATACAATTTTTAACACGACAGGTTTTTGATGTACTATGCAATGCGCGTCCCACAAGTGAAGAATTTCTTAAACTGGAAATTTCACAGAGATCTAAACAACGCGTTAAATTTTTCTAGTGAAAAGCACGCAGAATTACAAGAAAAATCAGACAAAGTTATGAAATCTGCCATTTCTAAGGATAACAGCACAATGATTCTGTCTCAAATTAAAGTATTTGGTTTTGTGTGGGCAACTGTATTATTGTTTTTTGTATTTTTACTTTTATTATAAAAACGATGGAATGAATAGTCTACACGGAGAAAAATTAATTATACTACCTACTATACAAAAATAATAACTCCTACTATCTATAATGGTAATAAAATTAATTAGTAACAAAATAATAGGTGGTATCATTGACAATTGTAATAGTTACTATTAATAATGGTAACGATTACTATCGAAAATAATAATTGTAATTATTATAAATTATAATTGTTACAATCAAAGATGGTAACTGTAACCATCTCAGATTGTAAAAATTCTGAAAGAAAAAATTTAATATAAATCCTTTATTTACATCGATATTTTAGCTAATGTACATTTTTTTCTTTGAAATAAAATATTTTAAATTCCCTTCAAAATTTTTTTTTTTTGAAATTTTAATATTTCTTTTTAATTTGAATTTTATTGAAAATTTTGATTTTTTTGGAAATTTCAAATTCTTTTTGAAAAATTTGGCTTTCAAATTTGTTTTATACAAATAAAAATTTATAAATATAATTTCAATCCTAATTTAATCCCGATTTTTTGTGCGCTACACTGCACCACAGCTGCTTTTAGTTTATTCAGAAATGCATCCACAGTAACGCAGATTCTTAATTTTTTAAATATTTTTTACTAGCTTAGATAGTAGTTATTATTATTACTGATGGTAACTGCAACCATCAGGTTATATTAAGAAATACGATTTTGATAATAGTAGTAACTAATAAAAATAATGACAGTTATTGTTATTGATTACCATCATAGTAGTAGTAGCTACCATCAGGATGGTAAATACTACAATTCAGATGGTTCATTTAATTATTTAAATAATATTTACTACTATCGAATTCAGTTAATAGATTTTAACATAACTAAATAATAAACTCTACTATAAAATTTTCTCCGTGTAGCAAAACAATTATGTTTTATTCATTTAGTCTTTAATTGTTTATGAATTTTATATAAGTTAAATATTTTTTCCTGTTTCATAGTTCTTGAAATCGACTATTAATTTATTATATTTATACCAGATGTACAGTCTGTTCTACAAACTTTGTTACATTTTTGTTTATATAGAAAAACTTCAGATAATTATCAATAAATCTCAATAAGGAATAATATTTGTTCCATGATTTTCTTGTGATTTTCTTTAGTTATTTTATCATTATAAATTTTCAGTTCCGTCTCTAGTCGTTTTGAAACCGACTATAAAAAAGAAGAAAAAAAAATCATGTAATGATAATTATCTATTTAATTCAACCCGTCGTTAATTTTTTTAATAACATTATTACCATATTTTTTATTGAATTAATGATTTATTTATCATGAATGACTGTGAGCAAAAAAGATAAGATTTTATTTATCAAGAATTGCAAAAGATAAAATTGAATAAGTGTATTCCAATATCATTTATTGTGGTTCAAAGTATGAAAATTGCGCTCCGTAATATATGACAAATAAATAATTTTAAAATACAATCTTAACTACTAAAGTGTTAAATGACTTTGAATTAAAAATGGCTTCAGAATCTGATAAGTTTTTCTCTAAAGAAATAGAATATTCGGAAGAAATATTAAAAGATTTGTTTAAGGTTAAAATTCCATTAAATTGGAATGAGTTGAATAGAAAAGAAAAAAGTGAATTAGTACATCAGTGGGCTCGAAACGCATTTCCTAAAGTACCAGAATCCTTAATTACATTGACAGTAGGCTTGACAGTTGATGGCGACTCTGGAAGATCTATTGATGAAGAACCGGAGTGGTTAGATCGAGAAAAATTTGCGCGGGGACAAAAGTTCGCGCAAGAAAATCTGTTTGGGGTATTTTTCTCTATACTCTTCGCTTTGTTTGGACTCTATTCCTTTGAAGAAGGTCTTAATCCCTTGATAATAACAGGAAAGTCATCGGAACCTTATTCCGCATTTAAAAGGTATTTATTTTGTGTAAATTAATAATTTGTATCAATAAATAATTTATCAATACTTCTTTTTTTTCTCTCTTGTTGGGTTGTTTGCTCAGCTGGCCCTGGGTTGTTCCTTACAGCCAATGGTTGTATATACATATGAGTTGAGGGTTGTGTTGGTATTTTGGCGGGAATTTTAAAATTAATTCGAGGGGTTCTCGTCTTCTTCTTCGATTATAGTGTGAGTAAGGTTGGATATGCTTCTAATGTCTATTGCAAATTGAGTTATTTTATTGATGATTTTTTCATCCTCGTTGAAGGCCCCGGTCACCAACATTTAAAAAAATCTACTATACCTTAAATTTTGAATTTTGTTTTATTTTGTACGCTTATTCAGCTGAGAGTAAAAAATAGATTCAAAACTTAGAAATATAGTATTTATTAGTAATAATTAAAAATTAAAAAATTGATTCCCATTTAATCTAAGAATCGGAATCATTTCCGTAAGGCTTTTAATATAGTTTACAGCAAGATAAAAATTTATAATTTTTATGTATATAATCTATAAATCTTCCTTTATAAGTGGGAATTATTATTATACTGTAATTATTAATCGTTTTCTTTTGAATAAAGTTTATTTTCTCAACTATCGGTTGGGCTCATACCGGTCAAAGCTGTGGGGTAACACCGGTCAGTTTATTCAATTGTTTATTGTTTGACAGCTCGTGTGTTTATTTAAAACTAACCACTATTTTGTAATTAATTAAAAAAAAAATCACAAAAGAAGCCAGTTAAATTGTCCGATAATGTTAATGAAGAACTCCAAACAAGTAAGTCAGCAGAAGAACCTAGAAAGAATTCAAGGAAACGAATAACTTCCACTCGTGCGACGGATAAATATCAAGTATGGCCTAAAAAATGCAAATTAGTTAAAAAACAGAAAGTTTAAATGTTCAAAATTACCAATATTTAATGTTATTTGCTGCTAAAGTTTCAATAAAAAAATTAATTTTAAATTTTTATTAAATTTTAACAATATAATTCGGAATTTCTTATTTTTAAAATAAAATTAATACTGACCGGAGCGACCTGCCTAATAACCGGGGTGACCCAACACGTTGGGTCGCCCCGGTCAAACTCATTATTTCTATAATTCCTCAAATATTTTTATTTATCTTCATACTTATATTTTTTAGTAATTGCATTTAGTTCTTCAGATGTCAAAGAATTGAATAAAGTCTTTTTTATTATTCCAAAATGATAATTTTAATATTTTTTTAAATTCACTTCTTAGGTGACCGGGGGGACCCCACACTCCCCTATTTATTTAATATGCCAAGGCAATTAGCCGAATGGCAAAGGTTTGTACATAGTTTTATAAATTTTTACTTAAAATTTAATACAAAGTAATATACTTAGGTGTAAGTGTACATCAAAATCTTATTTTAAAAAATTACAAATATAGTTTTATTTTAGATTTAATTTTAATTTTAATTTTAGATTAAATTTGATTTAATAAGTAACAATGTAATATTTATTCTAATCCACGTATTTAACAATATAATGGTAGTTGTTTTGACTAGTAAGTAATAATAGTTTGTAAGAGTATTAGCACATATACAGAAGCCAACGTGAAGGTAAATTACTGGAAGTCAAGTTCCAGGAAATAGTCAAAGATCTTTGTTTTAAACACTTCAAGACTGCTTGCATTTGCAATTTCTGCAGGTAAATTTTTCCACAAACGTATTGCAGTTACTACAAATGAATTTTCAAGATAGTTAGTACAGAAATTTGGCAGTTCAAAATTTACATTATTTGTTTTTATAGCTAATCTTTCAGAACGTCTGGCTTCATCTTCAACAAATATATCCCTAAGGTAACTAGGTTTACCTGTTTGCAATAATTTATAGTAATAAGTGATTAAATAATATAAACGTCTTGACTTCACAGATAACCAATTTAATTTACGTCTTTAAGGGGTAATATGTTCATCTCTCTTTAGATTATAAATCAATCGTATTGAACTATTTAATGCTCGCTGTAATTTTTGATTATTGTCAGCTGATGTAGCATCAATAAGCACTATAGTACAATAATCAATAAGGGTAAGAATAGTTGCAGTGACTAGAAGTTTTCTGATAGCAGTTGTATAAATATTATGACTTGGGCACCACCAGAATTCTGTTACCTTGCTAGATGCTCTGAGTCTGCTGACCAGAGATTTTATTTCAAGGATAATTGGATTGATTTTACTAGAAATGCCCACGTAATTATTAATACTTTAATTTTTAGATACTTATCAACTGGAGCACGGTTCAGAAATTGGTACACTAGCGACCTCTGGACCAAAGGAACATCTGCATACAACGACATTAGAACAGTTCGGCGAGTTCATGAAATTATACGGAACAAAGTTACCGCCATGACTGAAGAAGAAACGAACAAAGCAACGAAAATTAAACATCCTTGGTCTCCAACAAGAAATACTTTGGTGGAAGACTTTAAATCGGCTTGCCCTGCAGCTTCACCAGGACAGTGTCCTTTTACGATGAAGGTTCCAGGTGTTAATCTCAAAAAAATGCATCAAGGAGAGATGGCTATGACACAAGGCGGGTTTGTCGGCTTAGTAGTTCTCTTCCCTGAAGCTCTGGGCATACATGGCGCCACTGATAAAGACCTTGAAGACTATTTTTATGTTTGGAGATGTATAGGTTATCTTCTCGGCATTGAAGATGAGTAAGATCTAAAAAAAAATTGTTTCAAGTATTGGAAGAAATAATAAAAATAATTTATCATGAATTTTTAGGTTCAATTTCTGCCGAGGAACTTGTGAAGAAATCAAACAAAGATCCAGAGATTACTTGGACGCATGGGTGAAACCTAACCTGCGTGACTTGACTTTAGAGTGGGAACACATGATGAGAGTTATGATTGCTGGCGCTGAAAATTATGCTGGTCCTGGTAGTTCTTTTGAAAGAAGTATTTTTTACTTTGCCGAATTGATGGATATTGACATGCCGCAGTTCCGCTCTTTACTCAGTTATCGTGATTGGATTAGCCATTATTTTCTAAAGTAAAGTTATTTGCATTTTCATTGTATGAAAATATTAATATTATATAATTATAGTAATCAGGTTTGATCAGATCACAAACGCAATGTTGACAATTATTTCACACTTTATTGCTACGTTTCGTCGGACATCCCGATTTCTTCAGGCAATCTAAAATTACATACATCAAATAAATAAATTATTCCAATAAAACATGTCAAATATACAAATTGTCAATAATAACAACGTGTTGATACTCATGTCTCAGGCACAGAAAAAAAAATTTCTTGACTGGAGAACAAAATTCTTGGCTCAATAAAATTTTCGAGTGCCTGAAGAAAGACCGAAGTTGTGTTGGCCGAAGTTAAGATTTTTCTTATTGAAATTCCTATTCTTGGTGGGCGTCATTTTTTCTTAACTCAAATTATCATAAATACTTGATACAATAAATTTTAATATTTAATCAAAATTAAAAGGCGCAAGCGCGCGCCTCATATTTATTGTCATGATATATTTATGTGTCGTTTATGTATATTATATGTACTTTTAACCAATCAGAATGAGAATATTTATTTTCGACCAATCACAACACGAATAAATTGGTTTCACATACATTTCATCTCAATTTTATTATGGGACTAGAATTGAAATTTACGCGCGCAAGCGCGCGCCTTGACTATAGAGTTTGTATACATATTTTCATGCATATGATATATTCGACCAATCACATCACGAATAGATTGGTTTCACATACATTTCATCTCAATTTTATTATGGGAATTTTAGCGTGCAATTATACATATTAAATGAAAAAAAATGATTCAATATTATTTGATCTTCCCATTTGACATGTTAATCAATAAAAATATTAATGAAAATTTACTTCTATCGAGATATTTAATTTTTTGGAGCAAGAGAAAAATTTTCTCAAGACAAGAAAATTTAATTCTATCAAGAACAAAATTTTTTGGAGCAAGAGGCTGAATTTTCTCAAAACAAGATTTTCTTGACTTAAATAAATTTTCTTGGATCAAGATACGTATTTCTTAAAGCAAGAGAATGAATTTTGTTGGAATAAGTGAAATTTTTGGTGTCAAAAAAAAAATTTTTTTTAGCTCAAAAAAATAATTACACGGAAAGAAAAATATGGGAACTATTCCTATAATTTTATGGGAACAGTTCCCAGGCAATTATAGGAACTGTTCCCATGAATTATGGGAACTGTTCCCATAATTATAGGAAATTTTCCCAGAATTATGGGAAAATTTCCCATAATGATGGGAATGGTTTCTATAATTATAGGAATGATTCCTATACAATTATAGGAACCATTCCCATAATATTATGGGAAATATTCCCATAATGATATAGTAGTGGTTCCTATATTATTATGGGAACTATTCCCATAATGGTATAGGAAGGATTCCTAGAATATTATAGAAATCATTCCTATACCATTATGGGAACCATACCCGATGAAAAAAGTTTTTGTCTAATTATGTATGATCATATATAATTATATATAATCATATATGAGAGCATATATTGAGTATACTCAAAATAAAATAAAGATAAAGTCTTCGTGTGGAGTGAGTTCGAAATGATTCCTACAATATATACATGGAAAAAAAAATTGGGGTAGCCACATGATTTTCATGTTGTAGCAATAATAGGCTATAATAGTTAAAACAAAAATAATAATTAAATAATAATAATATTAATCTATATTATTAAGAGAATAAGGAAAATTTTGTGGCCAGTGTATTTATGTGATAAAATGGGTTTTTGCTTGGAGTTGTGCTTTTTCAAGGTTTCATATCATTCTCACCAATAGTCAATTTATTTTAATAAGAATTTAGGCTACGTTCGAAAATGCTCTGTGTCTAGATACATAATGAAGAAATGACTTTGTATCTAGTAAACTATTGACATTTTTGAAGATATAAGCTCATCCCGATGTTACACTCATCAAGAGCTTTCATTTGAGTACCCACATACATTTTGATATATTTTTCATATATACATATATATAAATATATAAAATATATGAAAAATTGATGTGGGTGCTCAAATTAAAGGTCTCGATGAGTGTAATGTCGGGATGAGCTTATATCTTTAAAAATGTCAATAATTCACAAGATACAAGGTCATTTCTTAATTATTGATATTTTTTAAAATATAAGAAATATGAAAATCATGTTGCTGTCATATGAAAGTCATGTATCTTCCACAGGAATGTATCATGCGGCAGCCCCAATTTTTTTTTTCCATGTAGGATTTAAACCTATATGTTGTGGGAACCATTCCTATACTATTATGGGAATGGTTCCCATAAATTATGGAAACCATTCCTATAATAGTATAGGAATGATTCCTATAGCATTATGGGAACCATTCCCATAATATTATAGGAATAGTTCCCATAATATTATGGGATTAGTTCCCATAATGACATAGGAATAGTTTCTATAATAGTATAGGAATTATTCCTATAGCATTATGGGAACCATTCCCATAATGGTATAGGAATAGTTCCCATAATTTTCTTTCCGTGTAGGAACAATATTTTCTTGGCTCCAGTGAACTTTTTTTTCTGTGTGGTATGTTGATGATAATGTTTTGTATTTATATTAACAATTTTTGAAAAAAATTTTTATGTGAATTGAAAATGACTAGATTGAATTTTGTATTCTGTTTTATAGAATATTGTATTTATATTTATTGTAATGATGTAATTTAAGATATATTTGACATCTTTTATTGGAATAATTTATTTATTTGATGTATGTAATTTTAGATTGCCTGAAGAAGTCGGGATGTCCGACGAAACGTAGCAATAAATAGTGAAATAATTGTCAACATTTCGTTTGTGGTCTGATCAACCTGATTATTATAATTGTACATTCTTTTGGACCTGATTAAAATAATTATGGATTAATATTATAATAATGAATATAATTAAAAAATAAAAATTATTATTTTGTAGGTTTATGGTACACTACGCGATGCGATTTTCTGCAGTAAGAAAATTCATGAATGCCAAAATGAATACAGTTATGGACACAGCGTTGCAATTTTCAAATGAAAAGCATGTCGAGTTACAAGAAAAATCTTCAAAATTGTTAGCTTCTGTAAGATCTAATAGAATAACTGAAAATATTTTTACGCAGTATAAAATTTTTGAACTATCATTTTTATTTGTACTACTTATTTCTATTTATAAGTTTTTCATCACGATATAAAATATAGAATTTAAATATAAATATTTGTTAGAATTATTAGTTATGTCTTAGTAAATATAATTACAATTATTGAAGCAGTGAATTATTCATTGAATTTATAATCAAGTGATTCATATTTTAATTTCGGAAAGTGCAAAGAATTCTGTCAAATTTAATTCAAATTCTTCAAGTATTTGATTACTTTTACATTAAAAAATGAAAATATATTTGAAATTATATATAAAAATATTGCAAATTATCATTTGTTAGATGATTAAGGTAACCCCACTCTCCCCCATAGCGTGACATACTCGTACAGTCTAGTTTGATAGCATATATAAGTCACATCGGTTATTGTAATTCATTCTAACTAAAATTAATATCAAACCGAATATTTTAAAAATTATTTTTAAAAATAAAATTATTAAAATTTAATATAAAGTTTGTTTTTAACTAAAATTGGAAGAATTAATTGGTGTCAAACCATCGTTCCATTATATATCACTCATTGCTTCGCAATTTTGAATATCAGTGAAGAAATAAATAGAATTTTTTGCAGAATTTCTTCTAAATTATTCTTCAAAAATAACAACAATCAGGTAACAAAATATTTTATAGAATTATTGTCTCTTTGTTTCAATATTTTGTTATAAAATATTTTTCTTTTTATTCTAAACACGCAAAAGGTCTCGATAAAAAAATGAAACACGCGATCAATGCTACGATAACCGATAATCGAACGAAAACGATTGCAGTATGCAATGGAAAATTTAAAAACTCAGATAAAATAATTCAAGATTTTTTGAAAGTAAAACTGCCACCAAATTGGAAGAAACTGGACACTAAAACAAAACGAAAATTAATCAAACAATGGACTCATCAGGCGTTTCCTCACTTACCGGAATCTTTGCTGTCAATAACAATTGGTTCGACTGTCGACGGAGACTCAGGAATATCTATAGACGAAATTCCTGAATGGTTGGATCGCAAAAAATTTCTACGAGGTCAAAAATTTGCTCAAGATAATCTTTTGGGAATTATGGCAACTGCGCTTCTGACTTTGTTTGGTATTTATTCTTTCGAGGACGGTTTCAAGCCTATGATTGCCTCAGGAAGATCATCAGAACCCTACACTGCATTTAAGAGGTAAAGAAAATTAATTCATCAGATATATGATAATTTTTTTAATTTTTGTAACAAATAAATTATGGCCAAAAAAATAAGAAGAAAATTAAACATTAAAAATTTTTAAAAATTTTAAATGCAATTGTTTGGAACAAATTTGTTTGTTAAAAAAATTAAAAAATGATGAAGTGACTGCTAACTTTAATTTCATTAAGAGGTACTTTTAATAATTAATTAAAAATAACTAGAAACCTTGCAGTCACTATGTGACTGCCGTGACTTGTGATCTATAAATAAATGAAATTTTTCTTTATTAAATAATGAATTTTGTTAAATTGCACTATACTTTCTTATTAGTTATTGACGTTTTTAAAGATATAAGCTCATCCTGATGTTACACTAATCAAGAGCTTTCATTTGAGTACCCACATGCATTTTGATATATTTTTCATATATACATATATATATAAAATATATAAATATATGAAAAATTGATGTGGGTACTCAAATTAAAGGTCTCGATGAGAGTAACATCCGGATGAGCTTATATCTTTGAAAATGTCAATAGTTCACAAGATGCAGGGTCATTACTTAATTATTGACATTTTTAAAGATATAAGCTCATCCCGATGTTACACTCATCAAATGCTTTCATTTGAGTACCCACATGCATTTTGATATATTTTTCATATATACATATATATAATATATATAAATATATGGAAAATTGATGTGGGTACTCAAATGAAAGGTCTCGATGAGTATAATCTCGGAATGAGCTTATATCTTTAAAAATGTCAATAGTTCATAAGATACAAGGTCATTTTTTAATTATGTATAGAGATAGAGAGCATTTTCGAATTCAGCCTAAATACTTATCATCATAAATTAACTATTGCTGAGAATGATATGAAACCTTGAAAAGGCACAAATTCAAGTCAAGACCTTTGCAATGACACTAAATTTCACGAGAAAAATCGATTTTATCATATGACTATCCTGGAGACAAAATTTTTCTTATTCTCTTAATAATATGGATAATAATAATAATAATTAATGTTATGTAATTGTAATTTAAGATACCTGGGAACTGTTGCGAAGTTTAGAAGCTGGTACACAAGCGATCCATGGACAAAGGGCACGCATGCTTATAAGGACATGAAAATAGTGCGACAAATGCACGTTATGATTCGAAATAAATTACACGCAATGTCTGATGAATCGATAGACAAAGCTACGACTATTAAAAATTCTTGGTCGCCGACGAGAGATATTTTGTTGGAAGATTTTCGATCAGCGTGTCCTGTAGCTTTACCTGGACAGTGTCCGTTTTTGATGGAAGCTTTGGGCTCCATAAGACTCAAAAAACTTAATCAGGGTGAAATGGCTCTGACGCAAGGGTCGTTTGTTTGTTTAGTGGTTACTTTTCCCACCGCTTTTGGTATTCATGGTGCAACTGACGAAAATCTAGAAAACTTTTGTTATGTCTGGAAAGGCATCGGCTATCTTCTCGGTATCGAAGATGCGTAAGTAATTTTAATTAGTATAATATTAAATGAGGAGCTGATTTTCAAAAGGGTATCTTTTTATATTTTAGAAGAGCAGTTTTTTGAACTTTTAAATATTAATTACTTTGAGAATTATAAATATTTATAATTGAAGTTATCCAGTTTTTTATCTCAACAATGAAAAGATACCCTTTTGAAACTTAACTTCTCAAATATAAAACCAGCAGGTATATGACAACTTTTTGAATTTTTATAGTAAACTACTTATTGAAAAAAAAAAAATGATTCTAAAATTGAGACATTTGATAATTTTTAGATTTTTTTTAATAAATAAATTATAGCAAAAAAAATTTATTTTAAAAATTCCATTTTTAGAAGCTCTAAAAAATTATAAATGTAATTTTTTAAAAACAATTGTTTAGACCTAGTTTAATTTAAAAAACTAAAAAATTGTCTTCTAATTTCAGTGTTTTAAAAAAATATTTTTTTTTCGAAAATTCGCATTTATAATTTTTTTTTTTTAATCATTACATCTAGAATTTTTTTAATAAATTTTTTATGATACTGAAATCAGCAGCTGACAATTTTTTAGATTTTTAAGAAAAATTAATTATAAAAAAAAATATTTTTTAAAAATTCGCATTTGTAATTTTTTTTATTTCTAGATGTGGAATTTTTCTGTTAAAGTTTCTTCATAATAATTTAGTTGTTATAAAAATTCAAAAAATTGACAAATATCTTCTTTAATTTCAGTATCATAAGTATTTAATTGATTAAAAAAAAAAAAATAAAAAATTGTAAAATGCCAGCTGATATCAGTTTCATATTTAAAATAATTATTTTGTTAGAAGAAATACTTAAAATATTTATTTTTAGGTTCAATTTTTGTAATGGATCACTTGAAGAGATAAAAAAACGTTCTGAAGACTATTTGAATGAGTGGGTAAAACCAAACCTACGTGACATATCCCCGGAATGGGAACATATGATCAGATGTTTATTCGATGGTATACAATATTTTATTCCGGGAATATCTTATGAAATGAGTCTATTGTATGTCATGGAATTAATGAACATCGATATGCCGCGGTTACGTTCCACTCTTTCTAACAGCGATTGGATCAGATTTTACTTGCTGAAGTAAGTTTAATATTATTTCTTCCAATACATTTTTTTTTAAATTCAAAAAAATGCTTAGCAATTATTTTTCTAGATTTACACTAAACTATGCATGCCGATTTGAAGTAATTAGAAAATTACTAAACAAATTCTTCAATAATCGAGTTAATGATGCACTAAATTTTACGGAAGAACAGCATAAACAATTACGTATGAAATCATCTGAAAAACTAAGTTTTGTTCTTTCAAATAATTATTAATTATTAATTTTCTAATTATAAAAATAGATTTTTCATACCACAGTAAACCTTTTATTCATTTATAATTTTTATTTAATTATTAAATATAATAAACATATTGTTACAAATTAGTCATTATTTATACACATCTGTAAAAATTCTTAAAAATAATTTACAATTATTTATTATCTCATATTCTTATCTCAGGTAGGTCAAGTATAAAATTAAGTTACATAATTAAAATAATGGTAAAAGAGTTTTCACAATAAGTGTCATTACCCTCTGTACCGTTCAACGATATTTAAAATTACTCATACGCGTAAGTACTTAAAGCACTTGTTAAAAATCATAAAAATTTACATATTTTAAATTTAAGACTTATCAAAATACCTTAACTAATAAATTTTGATTTAATTTTCCATCATTGCCGTAATGGAATTATTTAAAACTCTCTTATAATTTGATATAAAAATTAAGTAGTAATCTTAAAAAATAATCTCATTATTTTTATTAACATTAATTTATCTAAGTACGGCAGTTTATATTATTTTTAAAATTAAATAAGCATCAATTATAAAAATTAGTCAAGCAATGGCACTAATTTCGCATCAGAACACCAAAAATCGTATCGCGTTACAGATGCCATAAGAGAACCTAAGGGCGTATAATAAAAATTCCATTATTTTTTCCAAGTCCAAAAAAAATTTTTAGTTAGGAGAAAATTTTTTTTTTGCATTTCTGCACGTTTCATATAAAAATACGTTAGTTCTCAAAAAAAAATTGTTTTTATTACACCCTTATGGCATCCGAGATTAGTCCTAGGAGCTCTAAGCCATAAGGGCGTATAAAAAAATTTTTTTTTGAGAATCAACGTATTTTTGTATGAAACGTGCAGAAATACAAAAAAAAAATTTTCTCCTAAGTAAAAATTTTTTTTTGGACTTAGAAAAAATAATGGAATTTTTATGATAAGCCCTTATGGCATCCGAAGTGAGTCCCGGGAGCCATAAGGGCGTGTAAAATTTTTTTTTGCATTTCTGCACATTTCGGACGGAAATACGTCGATTCCCGAAAAAAAATTTTTTTATACACTGATAAAAAAATTAACTTGACTCAAGAGCCACAATATTGAATCAAGAACACTATTTCGAAGAAAATGATTTTCTTGAGTCAAGAAAATAAATTCTTAAGTTGAGAAATTATTCTTGGTCTAAGAAAATTTTCTTGTTTCAAAAATTTATTCTCTTGACTCAAGAAAATCATCTTCTTCAAAATGGTATTCTTGGTTCAAGATATTGGCTCTTGAGTCAAGTTAATTTTTTTTATCAGTGTACGCCCTTATAGTTTTTCACTGGAATCTTTTGCCGGTATACATCCTTATGGTATCTGGAACACGATATTATTGTTTAATTTTAACTTAATTTGATTATCAAATCACTGTTAAGACACAATTACAATCTCAATAATTCGGTATTATATCATTTTTGCACATTTGTTCAAACTTTAGTCTGATCCTTATCATTGGTCATAAAAACGTAACTGGGATTAGTAAAACTATCAGGAATGTCTTTTCGCATTTCATTATTATAACTCGGTATGTTAACATAATTATCTTGTGTTCTAATAATTCCATCTTTGTAATTATTAAAATTATTTTTATTATTTAACTTTTTATCTCCACCACCGTCAGTGTCATCTTTACAATCAACTTGTGTCTTATCAATTAAACAAAAATTCTGAGGTGCATTGCAGTACCCCGAATCTCGTTCTATTGCTTTGTCTTTGGCGATTGAATTTTTCATCGCTTGTCTCTGTCTTGCAAACTCTGCTCTTCGTTCCTGGATGTTAATAGGCTTGAGATAATTATCGTCTTCGCTCTTTAGCATCGGCGATATCTCAACTGCTTCTGAATCTGAGTCAGAATTAATGTTATGACTGTTGCAACTGTTTTTGTTTAGCGATGGGAAGTCAAAGTGACTTTTTTCAGACAAAGTAAGAGGACTAAATATCCCGGACTCGTCACGTTCTTGAGTTGGACTCATGCAGATGTACGAAGTGTCTGACGCGGGGCTCAATGGTATCGGAGAATTTACGTATTCATGAGGCGAAGATAGAGCCTCGTGATCTGGCGATGATATCATCATTAAGTAGTCATTCTGTCTGTTTTCAAAGAATGCTGTGTTCATATCTATATACGGTGTATTTAGGTCCACGTAATGCTAAAAAAAAAAAAAAAAAAAAAAAAACAATTATAAAATATTAATAATTCAATGATAAACATTTGCTTAGAAAAAAAAAATAAAAAAAATGTTATACCATTTTAACACTTTCATCGAGTAAATTTCCAATACTGTCGACCAAATCCGTGAATGTTGGTCGGGCAGTTGGTTTAGCTTGCCAGCAATCGTTCATTATTCTATATCTATATTTTTAAATTATAATTTTTAGTTATTAGTTGTTATTATTACTATACACTGAGAGAAAAAATTTTTTATGAAAATAATGAGCAATGTTGTAATAAGAAATAAATTTAAAAAAAAATTTTAAACAATTTTATTTTTTAGCTGAAGAAATACAAATTTTTATCACAGTAACTCTTTTGTTGAGAAAAATTTTTTTCTGAATTGGTAAAAAACAATTTCGAATAAACAACTTGCTGATTTTCATCCAGATTTTTTGTTTTCTAAGTCTAAAAAAGTTTTTTTTTACAAGAAAGTTACTATGAGAAAAATTTTTGGTAATTATTCACAAGTGTGATCCACACTATTTTTGACCATATCTAAGTGAAAAATTAACGTTTTTCAAATTTTTTTTCAATTCTGCTTGTTTTTATGGCGCATTTACGATAAAAACTATCGTGAAAGAAAAAAATAAAGATTTTGATTGCTTTTTTGCCTTCAAAAGTTGGAAAAAATTTTGGTTCTCATGTTTTTGGATAAATTTTTTATTTTATCTTTTTTTGATGTTTTTGAAATATTTTTTTGCAAAAGTTCATAAAAAAACGAACAATTAAAAAAAAAAAAAAAAAGTTGAATATCACAATATTCTAAAAAATTTATAAATTTTTTTGAAAATTTGTTAAAATTGTGATAATCAACTTTTTTTTTTCGATTGTTCATTTTTTTTATGTATTTTTCAAAAAAAAATATATCAATAAAATCAAACAGTAATTTCGTTCAAAAAAATGAAAATTAAATGGTTGACCCCACTTGTAAATATTTACCAAAATTTTTTATGAAAAAAATGAGCAATCTTATAATAAGAAATAAATTAAAAAAAAATGTTATTTCTTAGCTGAAGAAATAGCTGTACAAATTTTTATCACAGAAACAAAAGTTTTTTATTGAAAAAAATTTTTTTTTGGTTTAGTAAAAAACAATTTTGGATAGACAACTTGTGAATTTTCATCCAAATTTTTTGTTTCCTAAGTCTTAAAAAGTTTTTTTTTCAACAAGAAATTTACTATAAGAAAAATTTTTATTTCTTCTATTAAGAAACAAAATTATCAAAAATATCAAAAAAACTAATTTCTTCTCACAACAATGCTCATTTATTTTTAAAATAAATTTTTTCTCTCCATGTATATCTTCTTTAATTTAATGTTAAAAAAATATAAATTTACACATCATCAGTAGCAAATTCAGGTTGTTCCATTCGATAACCCTCGACCAATTTCTGAAACTGTTTTTCAGCTTCCATTCCCGGGTAAGGAGTTTCAGCCAGCGTAAAAAACTCCCACAGAACGATTCCAAATGACCAGATATCCGACTGGGTTGAAAATACCCTATCTCTAATAGACTCAATGGCCATCCACTTGATAGGCAAGGGAGCATTGCCCTGTTTTTTATAATTATCATCTTTGTACATTGTTTTTGCCAGACCAAAGTCGCATATTTTAACAACATTGTTCTCGGCCAGTAAGATATTTCTTGCCGCTAAATCACCGTGCAAAACCTTAAAGATAAATGTGAAAATGAGTATCTCCATATCCTCTAAATTAATCCTCTAAATTAAAATAGATGAAATTAAAATAAACGTGAAGTTAACCGAGTATCGAATTATTGCAAAAATGTGGTCCCCGATTCTTTATTGGTTAAAAAATTAAAGCACGCAATTTAATTCCTAGTGTAAAATAAAAATAAGTAAATCACCTTGCGCTGACTCAAATATTCCATTCCTCGAGCAACCTGGAACGCCCAAGACAGCAAATCTTGCGTGCAAATAGGCTTCAAATTGTAGTCCTTGTAATCACCGCGATAGTTGGAACGCCAGCCAGGCTGGACTGAGTTGTTACTTAAAATGGGGCCTTCTGGTGACATATTTATGCTTTCGGTATCATTTCCAGGCGTGTAACTAACCAACTCGGGTCCGTTACTGGAACTTGTACTGATACTACGAGAAAATGGATAATCAACTTTTTTTTTCGATTGTTCATTTTTTTTATGTATTTTTCAAAAAAAAATATATCAATAAAATCAAACAGTAATTTCGTTCAAAAAAATGAAAATTAAATGGTTGACCCCACTTGTAAATATTTACCAAAATTTTTTATGAAAAAAATGAGCAATCTTATAATAAGAAATAAATTAAAAAAAAATGTTATTTCTTAGCTGAAGAAATAGCTGTACAAATTTTTATCACAGAAACAAAAGTTTTTTATTGAAAAAAATTTTTTTTTGGTTTAGTAAAAAACAATTTTGGATAGACAACTTGTGAATTTTCATCCAAATTTTTTGTTTCCTAAGTCTTAAAAAGTTTTTTTTTCAACAAGAAATTTACTATAAGA